CCCGCCGCATCCGTGCCCATAAGATGTACATGCCACGGATATTAAAAAAAAAATCCGTTCCGTGGGAAACTTTCGTTTGCCATAAGAGTCAGCCTGAATAATTGTAGTTCGTTTTTGAGGCTCAAAAAGCACGAAACAGCTAGTGCTCGCTCAGCGTAGACCACCGCGCGACCGGGTGGTACGTCTCTGATATCCATTCGTACAAGGGATGATGAACGTGTGTTTCGTCCCGGCCATTCTTCTTGGAGCCGGTCTGCACCTACGTTCCAGCGCCCAGATGATGTGGTCTTTATTTTTTTTTGTCTTCACTTCAAATCAGCGCTCACAGCACTGGTGCCGTTTACTCCAGCCCGTGGTCACACAGAAGGGCCCCTCTCTACCCCCCCCTCCTGCGGTACTTTGCCTTCGATTTTCAATGCGATAAGAGTTCAGCACTCTCTTCCCTCTGTATACACGCGGACTAGCACTTCCCACTAGGCCAAGAGCTGAAGCGAGAGAAACACCCACTTTGCAAGCAAAGCTCGCTTACGCCGGGATTCGAACCCCTGACCCGACCTCTAGAAGGTGTCGAGGAAACCAACGAGACCACTGAGGCGACCGGCAGTTTATGTACGGTCAAATCTAAGGTTTGGTTGAGCACCTGCCACAGGGTCACACAAACAGAAAGAAGGAGGTCGTCACTTGTTTTGGGTCTCCAACCTTCCCCCTGCGGTGCAGCTTATTTGATGAGATGGTTATTTTTTTACAACGCAAGCTGTTGTCTCCTCGTTTGGTTCCTCTTGCTGCATGAAGGTTTACTCACCGCTTGTTGCGTACATATATACGCTGCTTAGATGGATATGATACGCATATATATGCTGCTATTTTATTAAATCGCCACCGCACCTCTAGACTATACGGAAAAGGACTTCGACCGAACACGACCGACCGGTCCCTGTATACAGCAGTATGCATGCAAGTTTCATTTCAGAATGAAAAAAAAAAAAACGCGTAAAAATGTTTAAGGATTTCGAATCGCCCTCCTCTGGAGACCTACACACGCAGTCAGTCCGTCAGTTATGTTGTGCGTTACCTTTCAAATCAATCGTCGTTCAGCTGTCGTTTTATCCAGCCGAGCAATGACCCCGTCCACGCACAGCGATGCTGCACCGAGACGGCATATTATGACAAACCAGAGGGAGAGCAAAATCAGCTTAAAGCTCGGCGTGCGGAGCCGCTGAAACATCAACCACAGCATCAGTAGCGCCAACCCTTCATGAATTGTCTGCTGGCGTGTGTGTCGTTGTACACCGTTACGACGGCATGTTGGGCGTGCTCCGAAATCGGGCACCTCCCCATGCAGTAAGGGCAGAGGACCCCACCAGGAATGTTCATGGAAGCAATTACGGGGGAATGATAGTGTCACACCAGCCTCAGACAGAGAGGAAAAAGCGATGTCTAGGCGCTCCTCCCGTTCCCGTTCGGACGCCATGCGCACACATCCTATTCGAGCGAACATCCAACGCATATATGCATCCTAATACAACACACATGTTGTTTGTACTTGATGCTTCGTCCCACACATGGTTGATCTGTCCGGATGTTGGGGAGATAGATGAGCTTTGAAAACGCCTTGTCCGAGGGTAGATATACCTTGAACACAGTAGCAGCAGCAGCAACGGCTGCCTTATCGCGCTTTGTTGCTGCACGCTATGCACAGAACATCTCTCGGTTAGATTTTCGTGTATACAACTCACCGAAATCAACAACATAAAGTCTTCAATCTTGTACGTACAACAATAACTTCTCATACGACCTCCTTGTACATGTATGAACAGGGCCGCTGCATGGCGCTCCTACTGCTGTGCTCGTGATATAGAACACACGGGCAACAACTGGCAGTGAGCATCCTATGCGCACACGTCTTTCCTGCACAGGAGTAGCAGCAACACGTGCACCCGCGGCGCTCACAGGAAGCCGGCGGCGGTGATCCACCTGCCTACAACAAACCAGTGACATGCGGCCAAAATACAGAACAGCATTTTTTTTTTCTTTTTCAGACGAACACTGCCAGACCAGGCGACCAGCAGTTGGAGCCACATTGTACACGACGCGCCTACCGCACACCAGCAGCAACTCGAGAGAGCATGGACAGAAGCCAACTCGACTTCCGAAAGCAACATGTGCCGGAGAGGGAGAGAAGCTTTGATCACGCGGGAGGGTTGGCCCTAACGGTGGCAGGGCCCTTGTCCTTCGCAAAGGAAGCCGAGCCAGTAGCACCGCGTCTTGTCGCACACGGCAGACTGGGTTACGGAGGAGGTCGGCCGACCTCCATGGGAAGACCCACCGGGCAACCTGGATCGTACGACGCTAGTGCACAGCCGTTCCCCGAAGAGGAACAAGAGGGCAGCAGTCATGTGAGCCAACACACATTTCTTCCTCGTGTCTCCTTCATCGGCATTCATTTCGATCCGATCAAAGCAGCATTCCGTGTGTGTGTTGTTGTATTGTTGTCACATTTGCAGCAAACATTGTTTGTGATGTGCGACACCCAGCAGCGAGATGTGGTTTTGTTTTTTGTGATTCTCGTCGCGATCGATCGGTGGTATGTGGATATTTGTACATACCTTGTGTGCGATGGTGTGCGCTTGCCTGTCGCCTTACGCGTGTAGTTAGCGAGCTTCTGTGGCTATCACATTTGCACCCTCGGTTTCTCGCCCAACTTGCCACTGCTGATGTTTGTTGCTTGCAAAAGCAATGAGTGTGCTGCGTATTGGACACACGACATTTAATTTCCTCTGCCCCTTTCTCGGGGGGGTTGTGTCCGTCCTGCTTCTGGAACGTGATAATGCTGTGAAGGTTGCCGGCAGCAGCTGCAGCAGCAGCAGCCACGGGGGCGGCTTTAGCGAGATCAACAGCCCTACCAACAACCTCCCGTCGCAGGGCGTGGCGATTGCTGCATGGAAGAGCCTGTCACAGCACCGCCGGTGTAACTCGGCACCCAACATGCTTACGGCCGGAGAGTCGTGTTCGTCTTCTGCTGCGGGGTCGAGGGCGGTTTCGAACTGGCGCAAAAAGAGCGGTCTCTCCTCCGGCGCCCCGGCGCCTGGCCTTCGCGACCACGCTATCCCCGAGGGTCGGCGGTTCGAGGTAAGCAAGGCTCTTTGTTTTGACGGTGTGAGTTGTTTTGCCTCCGAACGTGCTACAAAAATTAGTACCGAAACTTGGGTGGCGGCCGGCTGTGTTGGGGTGACCCGAGTGTTTTTTTGAACGTCATTACGTGGTTTTTTGAATTCCTGCTGCTGTACTGTCGAGGGGGATGGATGCCTCGTGTTCCTTTGGCCAGGGTAAGGCGTGTCGAATGACTCCTACGGAAGATGTGCGCGCGCAGTAGAGGGTTGCTGCTTGCTGCTCTCCTTGGCGGGAAGTGTGCCTTTTTTCCCGGTTATTTGGCTCTTGCGTCCTTCCTCTCTAGGCAACCAACTTGTTCGTTCGCTTCGTGGGTGGCAACTAATTTTTAGCCTTTATGAAAGGGGAATCGACGCGTTGGCAGCAGGCGGCGGCACAAAACGAATGCTCTCCCTTTCTTTTGGATCTCACACGCACGAGCACCGCGGCACACATGTTGCCGCTGGTTTTAAACGAAACTTGAAAGACGTTGCAGCTCCTTCACCCCCCTCGCGCGCGCGCTCGCAAATGAAGCAAACCCGTGTTACGAGTATTTCCTTTGGTCTCCCTGTCGCCCATTTATCCCTTCAGAGCAAATTCGACGGACCATTTCAAATCCCAAACCAGCCCGCCGTTGCCTGCCAAAGTGTGTGGCATCAGATACGCCCGCACGCCTGCTCTTCTTGGTGCGTGGTTCGATTGTCAAACTGTTCGACGAAGTCGAGAGAGGCGTTTTAGTGACATGGCATATGCCGCATGGTATAGATCCGTTCTTGAACTGCCTGCTGCCCTCGGTTCCTTTGCAAACCAGGCGCTAGAACCCCCTCTTCAGCCGAGCATCGCACCCGACCGGCCGCGGTCTTGGCGTGTCCGCAGCACCGCACCACCGTGGGGTACCGGGCTCACGTCTGCCATCGACTTTGGAACGCGGGATCCGAGGTGTGTCTGGACTTTCATGCTGTGCCAAACTTGGAACACGTTCTCTCACGTTTCCCAGGGGCCTGGCAGCAGTTATTCAGTCACGCGCCCGCTCACACGCAAAAAAAACGGCGTTCGTTCGTGTCGGCCCCGTCTGGCGGCAGGCATATTTGTGCTCGAACATTCACATAAAACCCACCTCCACCAGACAGTGCGCGGTTTGTTTGCTCTGCAGCATCACACCACGTGAAGGGTCTGCAGAAAACGAAGAGCATGGGTAACTTCTACCTAGCTGAGAGTAGATGGTATTGGTATGATTATTTGGTGGGCACCTGTGATCCTGACATGACACAATCAACTGCCCCCCAACCGACCATCAACGCCCCACCCCATTTTCAAGCGCGGTTCTTGCTTGTGTCCGTGTTTGTTCCTCGCACGCACTCTCTGCTACGGTACACAATACGCAGCGGCAGTAATGCAATGGACTGGGTGCCTAAGCTTAGGGCGTCCTACTTTGTCAACGTCCGCGGCCAGGGCGATGCACCCGCGACAGGCTCCTCTGTCTCCGGGTTGGTCTCTCAGAGCTCGGCGATGGGTGTCATGCCCGATGCGGACACGCGCCCCTTCGAGGAGATCAAGCGGATGCGGCTCAGCCAGGCTCTGGACAGCAGCAGCAGCAGCAGCAGCGGTGGTCCAGCGCAGCAGCAGCAGCAGCAGGACGGCATGGCAATGATGGGGTTGACCCCGTCTCCGACGTACTCGACATCAGGGAGGGCCCCGTACTTCGACACCGCTCGCCTCACGCCGCGCTTTTCGCCGGGCAAGGGGGTCAACGTGACGGGTTTTCATTGCCGACCCCCCGCCTTCGCCGGATCAGGAGGAGGGCCGCCTGCCTTGGGACCCCTGTCGCCAGCGATGACCGAACCGCCCACGCCGCCGTCGCAGTGGCACGTTGGAGAACCCGAGGCGTTTGCTCCAACCAGACCCGGGGATTGGGGCGGTGTGAACAACAACGTGCAAGCGAGCAGGACCCCAGCAGCGTCGGAGTCGGAACAAGGCGTTTTGCCGATGGAGCAGCGGCCCATGGACGAGGTAAGCGCCGTCCAGGCGCTCATGTCGGTGGGCTTGGGAACATCTGTCGACCTAGGAACGAGGGCTCAGCTGGAGGCTCCAACGACAACTACGGCTGCCGTGACCTCGGGGCCCGAGCGAGCCGGTGTAGCTGCCGCCGGCAAGAACATCGCCAGTACTCCACCTGCCTTGGTTGACGCGCCCAAGGTATGCTGCGCGTTTGACGCTTCTCTACCTGCCTAGCTGCACGTCGAAGAACATAGCATGTTTGTACATGGTTGTAACAGTGTGCCCTCCCACCGTGTGCCACCATCACCATGTTTGTTGTTGGTGTCACGACCTCCACAATTCTTGCTCCTTGCATGCTTCTTGGTGTCACGGGTATGAGACTCTGCCAGTGCTGGGATTATGTAAGCAAGCATCACCTCTCTCTCAGCTGCTGTTGCTGTTGGGGAGTCAGAGGCCGTTCGTTGTTCACGGCTTGTAACCCTGTTGTGTCCATGTACTTTTGTCCTTGTTTTTTGCAAACAGCCGGTGCACAACCCCGTGCCTTCCTTGGCACGCCTGAAGCCCTTCGAGGGAGGCGATGATGACGATGACGGCCTCGACAAAGACCTGTGGGTGGTGGTGGAAAAGGGCAGCGTGTGCACCTCCCGGGACTGCACCTACAGGGATGCGGTGAGTTACCGCTGTCGTTCGCATGGCGGCGGAGAGGTTAATGGTTAGGCGGGAACGGCGGTCAACACTTTTCTTGCTGGAACAATCGCTGCAGCCACCACCTATCTTGTCGCCATACGCGATTCTTAAGCCAATCGACTGCAGACATGCGCGGTCATGCCCGGCACCTTGGCGTGCATGCCATTCTGTGTACCGCAGCATCGATGCATGTCTTCGACACTCAGGGTTTTTCGGCATTTCCCTCCAACAATTTTTCAGGGCTGTCCTCGTTGAATCCTCCGCAGTAATTGTACCGCAGTAAAACCACGGTAATTATCGTATCCCGCGATCCCGTGAAAAATGAGCATTGCGGTCCCCATCCAAATTGTTTCCGTGATAAGTTGGTCTTACCGTTCACGCCCAAAGCATTCACGAACAAATTGAAGTGCCCCATTACCGCACAAAAATTTACCGCGAAAAATATGGAATTCCGTGCTTGCGTTTCCGTGAGATCAATAAAATCCCATCTACCAAAAAGAAACACCACTTGCATTATCGTTCGCCACAGTAAAATGCTCCTGTGCCCCTCTATCATAGCCAAGAAGTACGCACTCTATCCAACAGCCTGCGCGAGTTCAAGGGTTCGAGCCCGCTCCGCCCTTTTTTCTCCCACTTTTATGGTGTGATGTTTTATGGTAGGGGTTGTTCTCTAGTATTGTTTGTTGAACCGTTGAATAATTCCACCGTTTCTTTTTTGGGGGCCGTTTTTGTTGACGGGTGCGATGCTCGGTGAATGTGCCGCGCACGTTTGGTGTGCGGTGACCACAGCCTTCGGGAAGACTTGAAAGCAAGCAAACGAAACAGGGCTCTTCGTGCCTTGGTGTGGTGAACTGTACAATATATACCGTGGTGGCTGGTTGCCGTACAATGAAATTTCCGTGGTGGCCAGTTACCGCCCAAAATTTTCTGTTTTGTACCGTGGTTTCTGGTCAACGCGGAAAATTATTCCGACGTGGAAAATCGTTTACGAGGACAGCCCTGAAAATTTTGAAATTTTCGACAGGCACGAATCGCTTCCAGAAGGCACTACCACTCCAACTGCACCCATACACACAACGGCGGAGAGAAGAAAGGCATGGCGTTTCATCACCACCAGCTCGAAAAGGTAAAGAAAGGTGTCAGGACGTGAGGACGGTCGGTGCTACATATCTTCTCGGCAGCGAATCAACCATGGTCGATTCGTTGTTGTTCTTCGAGCGTAATTTTGTAATTTTGAAGTGAAAATTCGCGTCAGTTGAACCAGTACGGACATAAGAAAGTACTGAGCGGAGACCGGAACGGTTTTTAATGTGAAAACAAGAACAACAGCAACAACAATACAGCGTGATTCGTTGTAGGAGCGGCCGCTTACCCCCCAGGTAGCTGGCGCATTGACGTGTTTGCTGACGTTGGGTGCGTACCAAGGCTGTGCCTTTCACCCAAAATAGCGATCGCTCGTGTTTTCATTATCCGCCGTTGTTGTTGGCAGGTCCAGAAGCATCAACGGTCGCACAAGCGAGAGGCCACCAAGAGCGCTCCCTACAAACGCACGACTCCGGAAGACCATCAAGCAATGGAAGGGGCGGGTGTAGAGGGGTACCGTCCGACCGACTGGAACCAAGAGGAGACACGCAAACTGGACGAACTAGTCAACCAACTCGGTAAGTGACTGGAGCGAATTCCCAGCAGCGTAGTCTCTAGCTTTTGTCTTGAAGCCTTTGGCAATGTTTGTTGGCATGTGATGTCTTCTGCACTGTTCTCAACTCGGCAATGTGTTGTTTATGTTGCGTTCGGCTAGACGAGCTCGATTCAATCTATGCTTGCGATCTCAGTCTCCTCCCAAATTGTCGACCTCTCTCCACAACACTTGTTGGCAATCTCGAATCAGCGGCGCCAACCCCGATATACTAACTTGTGGCCACTGCCCACGTTCTGTTCTCAACTCCTTCATGGTTGTAGTGGCCCCAGTGACGCACGCGTGGCCGAGCATCGCGCGCTACTTCCCGACAAAGGTGAGGGTTTTACGTCGTAGTTGTTTTTTTCACCATGTATGACTCCTCAGACTCGGAAGCTACGGAAATAAGAGGGTGAACAAACGGTGCAGGCACGAAAGTCACACATTGGCGCCGAACATGCATCTCGTGGGGTGTAAAGACCAAGGCATAGTTTCAAGGTTCAGATTCCGTGCTTCTTCCCAGGGCAAAGCGGCTCCTTTTTCTTGTGCCAAGTGCAGACTTGCGTGTTGGCTGCTGGCGTTCTTACTTTTGTATGCTCTGTACGGTGTGGGGTCTCATGGAGCAGACTGGAATCCAGTGCCTGCTCCACTGGCGCTTCACGCTGAACGACAACGGCATCATTCGGGGCAATGGGACCTGGGGAGCCGAGGAAGACGAACGTCTGCGAAAGCTGGCACCCGTCTTCTCTTCGCCTTCGACCGGACCTCGGTACGTGTGTCTAGTCTCCGTTCTTCTGAAAGAGTTATGGCAGGAGTGGAAGGAATCTAGAACGACTTGCGCATCGGTTCGTGCTTGGGATTGACGCCAGTCACTCTGTTCCCGCAACATGAAGCTACATTGTCGTGCTGCACATGAACAGCTGTGCAGCGCTGTTCGTGTACGCTAGCTGACGTGCTCGTCCACAGACATGAAGTTGCTTCGTAGGAGACAGGTTATGCAGCAATCAATCATCGGTGCTGATATTTTTGTTTGCGTCGTCGACAGCTGGGCCAAGATCGCGGAGGTGATGCCGGGGAGAACGGCCAAACAGTGCCGTGAGCGATACAACAACCACGTAGACCCGGGCATCAAGAAGGACAAGATTTGGACGGCCGAGGAGGATGCCCTGGTGATGCAGTTGCACGCCGAACACCACAACCAGTTCGCCAAGATAGCGAGGAACATTCCCGGCCGGTGCTACGACGACGTCAAGAACAGGCGAGTCAGTCCGGTACAATCGCGTGTTGGTGTTATTTCCCTGCGCAGCCATCGACTTCTCACTTCGGTTGTGTGACCACGGCCTGTGGCCTGTGGGGCGGTGTTGCTGGGGGCTACTGCTGTGGTGTAGGTGGTGCCACTTTGTTTTCTTGGCCTGTTGGATAGAGACGCCCTTCCGCGATGGCGCCTCGCGCCTGAGCTTGGTCAGTCCTTTGGCACTGCTGAGCCACTTGTCATAAGTCAATCAATTACCAATCACCATTCCGTACGTGTCAGAAGTTCGCCAATGCTGATGTGTATCATCCTTGTGATGTTGACACTATGGACACTGCTGCTGACAGTCTCCGTCTTGCGTCCCCCGTTCGTGTGTGTTTGCATCAGGTTCAATCTGCTTGTGAAGCGCCGCCAGGTGGCTGTTAAGGCTGCGGAGTCGGCGCTCTCGAACGCAGGGAACAAGTCCCTCAGGTGAATTGTCGCGTGATCCCCTTCCCCGGCCTTTGCTCTGTCCGTTCCGTAACCGCTGCGGCCGTCTTACTCTCTGGTATACGACTACAGCACTTCCCCGGCCTTTGCTCCGTCCGTCAAGCGAACGCTAGCGCCTACTTGCTAGTTTGTATTGAACAACGTGAGGGAGCGGATCAAGGTGTATCCAACACGTTGAGGTTTTCACCTGTGTAGTGCCACCACCTTGCTGACATACACGCGCCTTGCGTTTCAGAACCATGCATGCATGCATGCGCGCGTTTGTCGATTTTGTAATTTCGAACAATCTCAGCAGCTAGGCTTGTTTCTTCTCCTGGATGTCGCAACCTGTGGTTGAACACCAATGCTGGCGTTCGCGCGACAGGCCTACGGTGGAACGCCCGGGTGGTGCGTCGGAACGCCGGTCGCCGCCTCCGTTCGACGGTACTGCAACCGCTGGGCTCTTCCAAAAGTCGGGCTTCGCCGAGCAATCGCTCGGTGTAAAAAGATCCACGCCCGAAATGCCGGAGCGGTGAAGGTCAGGACAGGACAGGACAGGCAGGGTCGGGTCGGGCCGCAATTGTTAGTAGGTTTGGTATTTGAAAATAGCGTCGGGGTTTGTGTGGAAACGAGCGCGGGAAGAAACGTGCCGCATCGTTGTACAGGCTGAAGAAACGACAGACGGGTTGTTTCAGCCCGAGGTCTGTAGTTGTTGATACGATAACGCGAGCGTGTTGCCGTTGTCTTGAAACGCGCCGCTCATTTACGAGGCCGTCAGACCGCTCATGCGAGGTGTGCGTGTGTTGGCCTTTTGTTGGCTGTTGGCTCTCTCATTTTGTTTTGTCGTTCGCTTGTTGTGCGTGGGTTGGGTTGTTTTGTTTTTTGGTCCACAGCCGTACGGAGCACGCGGTCCGAAGGGAGTCGGTCGATGCAAGCCGGGTACACAGCGGTGCAAAATGGTATAATTTATAATCTTGCTTATCGGCACACTGCCCTACGGTGTTCTTGCTGAGTTTTGTTTTGTTGTTGTCAGTCCATTGCCCTAAGGCTCAGACGACTACTGGGAGCGATGTCGGCTTTAGTATCGAATCCCCCCCCCTTGCATGCTTGCATCTGTTGTTGCAAAGTGAGAAGACCACCGCCTGGTTTGACCTGGCCAGCGGAACGTTTGTCTCGAAATGTTTTTTGTCAAGGCGTTGTGGTTGGTGTGTATGCACCGCCGTTGTGTGTTTGCTGCGTCTTGTTGCATGTGACGGTGAGTATTAACGTTGTGCGGGGTGAAAAGGTGACGTAAGCTGCCCCCGCGCTAGATAGTGGTGCCCTTGTTTGAATTGAAGTTGATGGTGAGGTCGGTGGTAGGTGGCAGGTCACGTACAATTAGTCTTGACTTGGCTCCAGGAAAAAATGGGCTAATTCTGGGCGTATTGAACTCGGCCGAAAGTTTGTATGGCAAAGGTGCAATAGACAGGTTTGAATCGCCTAACTTGGAAAATGTCTTATGTTTGTGAGGAGTGATCGTGATTTTCGAGCCCCGTAGTGTGGCTTTTCAGAGAGAATTCGCAGGTAGACAGGAAGTTGTCCGTTGGACGGCTGCATTTTTTTACGTTTATTTTACAGGTCGCAAGGAGCAGAAACGTAGGGAGGGAATTGCGATCGCGAGTGTTTTCTGGGAAGAACAGAGCAGCAAAAGTTCAGGTAGTTAAAAGGAGGAAGGTGATCGTGTTGCCAACAAGCAGCTGTTGGCTGGATGCAAGACAGCGGTGGTGTGCCGTCATTTCGTAGAGTCCCACGTGCTGTGAGGAGCATTAGATGTGGCGAATGGTGGGAGACGGAGGTACTCTAGCCGGTGTGATTCGTGAAAAATATTGTGCACTTGCATGCGTACGCATAGTGTCTTGATCAAGCGTTGGCTGTAAGCGCGACACCCGAACGTGAACACAGCCGATGCTATCTCTAAGCTAACCGCTATATATGTTGGGCTACTAAGCTTTCTGCTTATGCTTCTCGAGCAGCTTAAGGACTAGAGCCTTGGACAACCCCATGACGGAATCCATGGAGCCGTCAATTCTGGCGATGAAGGGCTCGACCAAAGGGTGTTCCACCATTAAGCCACCTGCGCACTGAAGCACTGTGCCCTCGCCACACAACTTGGTCACCACGCTTTCCGGCACCTTTGGACACAGTTTCGGCGGGAAGGAACGGAGCACGAACATGATTAACAGCGATTGGGTGTACAAGTCAGTATGACGTTCGACATCGCCGGACAAGGGCTGAGAGGTTAACATCAAGAGAACTGCCGAGCGCGGGGGGGAAACGTAGTAGCTAGATGATCAGGCTTCTTTGTTATGTTACTTCGTTCCCAGTTTTTTTTTTGCCCTGTACTTGGAAGTATTATTTATCTCCGCTCGGGGGCTCTTGGTTATTTGTTGCCCCTGAAGGAGTGCTGTCTGACGGCTTGCTTGCTTGCTTCGGATTTTACTTCTTGGGTTTTATCTCGTCAAGTAGTACACTTTTGTCTAATTTCTATGCATGACCGCTCCTACACATCCTAAGCTCTTTCGGGTTCATTTGGGGGCAGTTTGTATGATTGGTGAGAAGCCGACGGTACGTCGTGTCTTGTCGCGTGATGTGCGTGGTTTACTTTCGTGTCGTTTTTTCGTTTTTACTCGTGAAGATCTTGGCACACCTGGGGCGAGGCGTGGAGAGGGTTGGCCTGGTGGTTAGCCCGACGGTGAAATGCTCCCCGACTCCCGTAGGCGTATGAGGAAGGTTCAGGTGTTTGTTTTTTCTAGTGTGCTTTCTTGTATATACATTTGGGTTTGTATTTGGCTTCCGAGTTTCGGGCCCGCGGCTAACTGCTATTTAGCAACGAAAAAAATAAAAATCCTTCAGATAGGCGACGCTGACGATGCTCGTCGGCGCCGATAGTAATCGCAAGTGAAGCAGAGCTCTATATTTGGAGTGTTCTTGCACTCGTCACCTTTTGTCCGGAGCTCCGATGAGGATGTAGGAGTATCCCGGAGGACTTCTTCTCTCGCAAATGTGTTGCATTTGTACCTTATTTGTGGCTTGGCTTGTGCTCAGGAAACTATATTGTCTGCTTTCGAAGAAGTGGGAACAGAAGTCGTACATCAGACCTCAGACGACGTTTGAAATGGGGTGAGTGATCCCTCCGTCGCTTGCATAATGGGCGGAGGACCTCCGGAAGTGGCAAACCAGGCTTTGCTACGACGGGTTGCCGAGACCCTGTTGTAACTGCCGTGCGCACAGACCCTGGGCGATCATCGACTGCCGAAAGGGATTCACCTAGTGTTACAAGATTAAGAACTACATCGATAGTTCCGTAGGTGGTGGGCCGTGCGCTTCACATACGAGTTATCTCGGTAGGTGGGGATGATACACACGACCACTGTCTTACCTCCTTGAAAAATATTTCGGCAGTATCAACCCCCGAAAACTGCTGCCCGGTTGAGATGTCCGTTAAAACTGCAGACCCGACTGTCCGACACGGCGATCGCTGGGGGTTAGGACGAAACGGTCAAGATAGGGTCAGTGTCGATCACATGCAACAAAAACCTTCCCGCACAGGAATCGGCATGGAATAAAAGAGGGGCAGGTCTCTCCCTTTGCGGAAATTGGAATATGGCGGTGTTGGAATTGGAGCGTCGTCGCTACTCTTCGCAACGGTATATTATGGCATGTTGAGTCAAACATGCGCCGCGTTCTTCCTAGTCATTTCGCACAACGAACTCAATCTGAACAAGTCCTACAGTAATCGAGGAATATACACGTGCTATTTCTACGAAAACACATATTGAGTTGGTCCACACAAAAGGTGAATATCCATTTCTTGGCTCCCACTTGAGAAAAGGACCCGGCAAGCACGCCACCAGGGCTTGAATTGCATTGCCCTGAGGAAGCTCGCAAGACCTGCCGGGTTCATTTTCCCGACTCAATGCGAAGCTTAGTTCTAAGAGAAACAACGAATGAATCACCCCGTGAAAAAGCATGAAAACAATATTTTCAATATGGACCGAACAAGAACCGCGTGAGGCCAACTTCGAACAAAGTTGTTGGGAGGCTGTGGTTGCTGCAAGCGTACTTTACCACGCTCTCTGCCTGGCCGTGTTCTTCCCTTCAAAGTCTCTACAATGGTACGAGAGAGGCACGTGCGCTTAACAGACAAATCAATGTATTTAAGTGCCACCGCCTGGTAGTGGGATGCGCTCGGTGGTTAGCTACCGTCTTGTATCGTATCTGTCCTGAGTAAAGCCGAAGACGGTCGCCGCCGTATACCGGGTCCCGGTAGAAAGCGCGTCGATTTCAGCCGCCATACGTACATACACATATCGGGCAACCGCCTTACTCAGGCGGTCTTGTGTCGGGTGCCGCACTACACTGGCGCGAACAGCATCTACACACCACTACCGGTGGTGGTGCATCACTTGTGCGCACACATCTTTCGTTGTGCGACCGTGACCACAAGCGATCCCCAACGGCAGACAGCCCCTTCCAAAGACAAACTCACCGCGTAACTGGCGATGTTCCTTCGCACTTCACCTTCGTCCGCGGGCTTCTCTAAGATCCGGCCGTCGTGCACGACAACTGCCAAAAACGCGCAGGCGCGGCGAACAACGGAAGACGGTATGGTAAGAATCCCCCGCGGGTGACAAAAGACAGAGCACATATCCTGTTGGGAGATTGTGTCGACGGAGATAACGTCGAGTTTGAGATCGACCACTGAGGTCTACTGTAGTCCAAGGTGCCATGAGCTTTGGGAGGGTTCACACACCGGTACGTACGGTCGTTTCTTTAACCACGTCGTTCTGGCGGTTGTAGCGCACCGCCTGCTGCGCGATAACTCCGATACTTGAGAAAATTGACGAAGCACCAGCTCTCATTGGTGGGTGCATTGGGCCCGGTGTCGTTCCCTAGCGTATGCCGTAGCTTGTGCGATTGTCCCACCAATACCACAACACGTGTTCTCTCCTCGTGCGGGGTCGGTTGAGTACATTCCTCTCACATGTACAACGACTGTGGTCAAATCTGGAATGGTTAGGTCTTTCTGTTTTTGTATTTATCTTTCCTAGTGTACAACAGAAAATTACTCGCAAGCATATTGCAGTGGGGAACGCCGACGACCAATCCCGCAGTGACATGTATGCATAGTTTACCGGGCAGCCCGTTTCAGGTACTGTTCGGGCGAAAGCGTGGAGTGTTACGTGGCAGGAACGCTAGGACTTGTGTACCTTGGTCTCCCGTCAGAAGCCATGAAGTGCTTAGCTCTCCACGATCAGCCTCCGCTTTCAGTGCAGGGAGCAGCGCCTCCGCCTTAGCGAGCCCGAGCTGCAGCACGAGGTCAGCCGGATCTGCAGTGCGGTCGCCGATCGCTGCCTCATCGATGTCTGCAGACCTGCAGACCGCAGTTCATCACGCAGGATTTCACTCAGTCAACGCCTGAACAACGTCAGAGTCAGCTTCTCTTCCACAGAACAGACACATACATTGAGGGCGCGTGGTTCACTTGAAACTAACCGGCGACACTTTGCGGCGCGACATGCACCATGCCCGCCCGATGCCCGATGGATAAACGGACGAAGCACAACTGCAGCTGTAGTCTAGACCCAAAGCAAACAGATGATGTGAACTTTGTCTTAGAGAGGTGAGCGGGAAGGTGGCGATCCATGTCTGTCTGTGTACGGCACGAAGAGAGATGCTTCAGCTGCTTCGGACCACCACCAACAGGGGGCGGTGAGAGATATGCTACTGGCTACTGCTGTAGTTTAGCGATTGCCGTCCCACCACAGCACCAAACTTATTCACCTTACAATTGGGACAAAGCCCATCTCCTCGATGATCATCTTCCTGGTGAAGGACTTCGAGCCCAGAATTATTTGACCCTTGCTACTGCTGCTGTGCCCAGGTGACGAACTCATCGCACATGAATCGCCGCTGCTCGTAGTTCTGCCGCGCGCCGCGACCACACTCGGCCGAAGAAAGAAAGCACTCGCATGCAGCGCTGGTGACCCCACGGCAACTACTAGTGAGACAAAGGCCCGTCGTTGGAAATACATAAGCTGCGGAGAGCCTGATAAAGTGCTCGGATCCAGCGGCGGTGTGCGACGGCGAGGAGTGAGGAGTGCACCAAAGACCAAAGACACAAAACCCAAAGAGAGAGACACAACCGGAGATGCCGTCGGTGGGGACTGTGCAATGAGACTGTCAGGATATCTTGCGCATCTTGCGGATTGCGGATACAGCAGTATAGTCTACGTGCAGAGTACCCGTATTGGACAAAGTACAAACTGCGGACTAACACACTGCACGCTACACCCATCGATCACATGCGCGACGACATGCAGAAGAGTGTAGACGTCCTCACGCTGTACGCTGCGAACTTCTTCAACGTTTAGCTGGACGCGTCGCTCATGACTTCTTGCGGCGTCCGCCTCTTTCTCGCCCTCTCTTTCTACATATCGGAGAAAGATGGAAGGCGACCGTGATGACGGCAGCTGTAACGGAAGCTTGCCAGGGTGGGATGGAGAGGAGCTGCAGTACATAGACGGTTGGGCCACGAATTGGGCGGGTGATTCGCCGAAAGACCCTGAAAAAGAAGCGGCGGCTGCGGTCGGGACCATCATGATGGCTGACACCATGAGCGCCAAGGAGAAGCAGGCGCGGAGGTGCGGGTGGTCAAACATGTACATAGCCGTCTTTGAGCTCCTTCAGTATAGAGCGTTTCAGCGGATACACTTACTGTGGCATATTCAATACTTTTTTGGCCCTCCAGGACCCGGAAAGGTACTCAACAATAAATAGCCTCATAACCGTCTCGGTTGAGCCTACACACTACAGTAGAAGTAGCGGTGGTGCCGGTATGTTGCCGGCCGAATAATAATATAATAATGCCGGTTGCCCTGTGTAATGCCGGTGAAAAGTGTCAGTACAAATAGTTTGATTTCTGTATGGATCATCTATTGTAGTGTACACACCAACATAGAGCAAGCAGTGCTACCGCACTTATCGAGTGGCTCGGACTGGTCCGGCCCATCCATCGCGAGCTTGCCAGGGAAGGGGAGCGAGGAGATCCAACATATCCTGCAGAGGCGCGGAAGGAGAACCACGGCAAAGAAAGCGAGCAGCTGCCGCATTTTTGCTCTCGCGCTGTTGTTCCCGAGCCCAATCCACAATGCCGGAACTCGGAACACAATCCCATAAATCGGTTGGCTCATCTGATAGTCGGGCCCTCCTGAACACCGGCAGGTCACGCCAATGGTGTAAGGCAATTGTTTCCTTCGTCTATTTCGACGCATCGTTGTCACTTAGCCTATAGATGGATGGAATGCAACAAGAAGATATGCACATGTACTTACACCTGTTGTCTACGTCCTATTCGCCGACATCACGAACGGTACCATGCAGGAATTTCTACGCTAACTTCACTGAACGAGCACTCGCGAAATGTGGAGACTACAGCGGAGAGAAGAACATCATCGAGCAGGTTGTGCCTTATTGAGAAGATACCGCTTGCCCACTCAATGAACGCAACTCTCACGGTAGGTACACACAAGCACCGCGCCTGCATTGAGATCGAGAACCCCGGCCCTAAATCCCAACCTAGGTGGTGTTCACAAAAGGTGGAAAGTGGCGTCAGCAATGGCACACACAAGACCTTACAGTCGGGACACACTCGCAGAGGCAAATGGGGGCGAACTGTCCTCCGTTCTCGAAGAGATTATGGGATGCGCGTGGCAGGTCGAAATGAGGTTCTGCTGGTGCACACCATGCTGCCTAAATCACATAAAACCAGCGTCTTCGCGCTTGATAATTGTTTGCATGCGAACTCCCAGGATGGTGTTGACCGGGTCGAGCACGAGCACATTCTCGCATGGCGTGCGTGGGTCGATCTGCGACACCGAGTGCCCAAGGCATCAGCGCGTTTGTTCTGCTGTCCGTGGGCTGGAGGCAACAGCCTCATGTTTGAACGCTGGTCAGAAGAACTGCCTGGAGTGGAAGTTGTGCCCCTTCTACTGCCGGGAAGACTCACGTAAGTACTCGGCCTTACTGGCTGGCTTGGCAGTCTGTGATGACCCCACGTTTCCAAGGACGCGCTCCTATCGGGAAATGCAGGAGTTGAGGAATGCAAAAGTCATGGTGAACTGATTACTTCGGTATTGTGGGAAACGAGGAGTTGTTGCGTTCTGTGCTTGGGGACCACAACATGAGACAAAATCAGCCCAGCCAATGGCACCACCCTAGTCCTCTCAGAAGAATCTGTAGCTCGACACCCGAGACGGAAGAAGAACGCGCTACGGGGCCGGCACAGGGAATCCCAAGCGGTTGCATACATTGTACAACCATTCCCGACCGACATTCGTAGCACTTACGGTGGCAGTGATGTAACTTGTTTGCTCTTGATTGTTGCTGTTGCTGCTGCTATCGTTCCACCAAGACGTGCGAGAGAGGATGCCATGACAAACTTGTCGGATATCGTGACGATGGTGGTTGAGGCGATCTGTGGGCTTCATCTTCTAACACACGAGGACATCCCGTATTTTATATATGGGCACGAATTCGGAGCACTTGTCGCATTCGAGACATGTCGGAGGGTGCAAGACGAATTCCCCGTGAAAGCCCTTATCGTATCAAGCATGAGCTGCCCTCAGGTGGATGACCTTCTTTTGTGACATAATCCCTTCCTTGGACATTTTAGAGCAACGCTGTGGCACAGGCGACGCGTACGCATTATTGTGAAAGCACCAAAGCCTGTCGAAGTAGACAAGTAACCAAGTAGAGAGGACTCTGCGTGGAGCTACAAAAGGCTCACAGAAATATATTTATACCACTTGGGTCAGCTATTCCAAGTTCCGTAAGGCTACAGGCTAGGCTACGCTCGAAAGTATGGTGAAATGTTCTCTTGGAGCGAAAAAAATCGCGTTGAACTGCTCCCGACACCCTCTCCCATTCCTCCTAAATGCCAGCGCAGATGGTACACGAACGAGAGAAAATGGCGTCGCTGTGCCAAGTTTCTCCGGAGGGCGAGATTCTGCACGCAAAAAATGCCGAGGTAAGTACGTCTACAATGATATACTTATGAGGTAATCGAATACCGTTCTCCCAGGGGAATATTCAAGTTGGCGTTACTGCAGCGCCGTTGAGAGAGCAACTTACGAGACGATGTTTGCCCAACGCCAAAACTTTTGTGCTACATTTCGTTGGAATCGGCGCAGAGAATGAGGTACGTACTATGTGAACAAACCTGACGTTTTGCATGCGCCATGGACTGGTATATATGTCTGTGTGCCTCTGATCGACAACACGAGCAAGTGCTTGACCTCGAAACTTGACACAGGCAGTCCCGCATCTCAAGAGATACACACCTCGTTATGTGTTACCCGTAACATTCCCATTACTTTTCTCACTATGTTACGACCTTCACAGCGTGGTGGCAAGTGGGCAAATGTCTTCGTATGTAGCTGATACACGTTTGTTGGATCGGACAGTTTGAGAATGCGATGCTTCGGAGAGGACCGCCGTTGCCGCCGGAACTCCTCGAGAACAAAGACTTGATGGAGATATTCACGCCTCTGTGGTTTGCAGACTTGAGGTGAGCGACGCCCACGCAACGAGGTATTGTTACCGCTGTCCCAGCTGTTTTTGGTGTCTCGTGCATGCAACGACCCAGGTATTTCGTGATCCCCTGCAACACATGAGAACATGGCACTCAAGTCACTTCCTTCACCAACCCCCCCAAAACGCTCTCTTGCGACCCCACTTAGCGCTGTGGACACGTATGAATACAAGAGCGGCACGTTGCTTGAGTGCCCCATATACAGCCTGGGAGGTATCAAGGACGGGGAGCAGGACATGAGTAAGTGGGCCATGGAATCGTCCTCGGGCTCAAGTGAGACCACCATGTTTCCAGGGGGCGCTTTCTTCTTGCTGGATCGGGATAACGAGGTAGGCGCAGTTGAAAGTGGGCTCATGTTTCCGTGTTATTTGGGAAAAGATGGTGGTCCTGGTCCTGGTTTGAGGTGCAGTGGTGGCAGGGTCCTCCGTCGGGAACAATTACCAAAATCGTCGGTCACTTAACAAGCCCTGTACTTGTGTGTACGTTGAGCAGCATTTCACAGACCCGTGAACGATAAAAACTGTTTCCGAGCAATATGATGTGGACGGACAGAGTGCCTGTAAATCCGTTTTAGAGAAGCCCAAGACATGGGCAACATGGTATTTGCAAGTGGCGAAACGGTCTTGACCGCACCGGTCGCTGCGGCAGCTATCCGCCCACGAAACTTGCTCAAACTCGGCATTCAACGGCAACTGTTGCATCCTATAACCTGGCTCTTTACGTTTCGGTCGTACATTCTTACAGGTCCAAATTCTGAGGCTCCTGAGAGATCTCTGCACAAATGAAGGCAAGGCGGTCGACGACCCGAGAACCACGTGAGTACAGAACAGCACGCATAAGACAAGTGCAGACGCAGGTAGCACCTGTACCCGAGGCAGCCTCAACCTGGAATGGGGAGTGTTGGTGTTGATAACACCCACTGTGCCCTTCATTGTACCCTTCAACTCTTGCTGTGCTTCCCCCACTCCAGGGTTGAAGATGGGTCAGATTCCGAATCAAGCGAAGGTGGCAGAGAGTCGGGATCAAGCGGTCTGACACGCCGTGGGGCTGACGATCACTGAATACCTGCAAGCTTGCGGTGTTTTTTTTTACCTCTATGAGCGTACTCGGGTGCCTTTTCCGCACTACACTGCGTTAGCTTTAGAATTCTTCACTTAGGTTACCAATTTTCTACATCCGTTATGATCAGACTTCTTTAGTTGACGCTGGGGGTAGAAGCTGTGACAGTCACACCAGGTGTCGGGTGTACACCCCCCCATCCCATCGCGGTGCCATTTCCGCACTAGGGTGGTATCTCGAGACTTGTACACTGGAAGGCTACCCTTTTCTATATCCGAAGTCATCACACTTTAGTTGACGACGCTAAGGAGTTGAAGCCGTCGAACTCGGTCGCACAAGGTGACTGGTGTAGACCGCCCCACCGCGTGACACACGACACCAACTGTATTTCGCACTGGTTTGCAAGCTTACACCATACCCACGACCCCGTGGAACCCGTAATCCTGTAGAATACTATCAACAACGTGCCTGGCTTCAGGGTCCAACAAGCTTACCCTCAGTGAGTACACACGTGGTTCCGACGGATTATTTTCCCACTTGAAACGAGAACACGAATCCGCTTAGATTTCATCGCTGCTCGACTATACACGGGCCATGTGCGGAGTCCCTCCTAGCTTGTCCCGGGTGTTCGCTGTCTTCTTTCGGTGCCACCGGGGTGAACCAACCTCTCAGGCTTGACCGCGACAAGCACGCCTCCCTGTACTTCTTCAACCCCGCGTTCACGGCGGCGAACGTCAGGCCGGATTCTTTGCTAACCTTCACGCAGGTCACGCCAAGCCTTCTGACGGTCTTAATGTTGTGTTTTTCATCGTCGAAGAACAGCATTTCTCGGTACTCTACACCCGTAGCTGCGTGGATATTCTGGGCGGCGGTAGAATACAAGTGGGCATCGTTGCAAGCGCGAAATGGTACCGAGTTGTGAGGGCCCAAAATCAACAAATACCTACGGTTCTCACGAGAGCCTGCTTTCACGAGTACACTCTCATCGCATGGGTTCTACTTGAAACCAATAGTTCCTTACTTCCATATGCAAGACTTCCATTCGGGCATGTACTGAACATGTTTCGAACCGCTCAGCGACCGTTTTCCTACGGATGAGGTACACCGGAGTGAACAAATACGCAAGTTTTGAAGAAAGTGCATACCCCGGGGTTGGCGTTCCGAATCCGGAGGTCAAAATGGTTTCGGCGTGGCTGTGAGCCACGATCATGAACGGTGCTTCCCATTGGGAGGGTACGTTTCTGGTACAAAACATGTGCACCAAACAAAGAAAAAATATGCCGAGATGCAGCAGACCAATATCATTTCACACACTCAACCAAAATGAATTCCATGAGCTCTCGATGCGTCATGTAGTTGAAGTAAGAAAAGGGGCGACAATTGCGATCGGCGAAGGTCAGGAAGGTGCCAATACCAAACACGTACCTGGAAATGCTTTGCCTTGCTTCCTGTGTGAATTTCGAGACAGCAGAACAGGTCCAGTAGCCCCAAGGCACCCAAGATGCCTCGTGCTGCTCCGCCCTCGTCTACAGGTGAGCGACTTGCCACGGCGAGACGGATTGACCCCTTGAATGGCGGGGGAATGGGTTACGGTCAGCAATTCGAACACTGAATTCCCACCGCACACAATTAGTCTTGTGTAAGTAGAATGATGTAGACCAAGAAGGGACCGCGTGAGAACTACAGACAGCGAGCAACAGAGGTCGAGACAGTTCAATGCGTTCAAACCACCGATTGAGGCCCCGCTCCCACCTGCTGTTGGAGGCAGCGTAATAGGGCGACCACGTCAGGGAAAAGTCGTACGACTTTTTCCCTCCCGAAGGAACTGCATTTCACGGTACTTTCACTGTTACAGAAATGAGTGTTGCCAAGGCCCCGAGTGTACGGCCCCCTGGTTTCCTCGTGGCAGTAGACGGGCCACACCTGAGTAGACGTCATGATCGGAGTAGAAAAGGGCAATAGGTTCAATTCTCGGATAACGCAGTTCCATCGGGCATGTTTCCATTGTTGTCGCGGCCTGTCGTTCATGAAGTTCCTTCATGGGGTTGCTTCGCTTTCATGTCCTCCGCCAAAATTGACGAATCCGACGAGAGCAACCAGTTTGACGGCATCAGTGCCTCACGTGCGCTTGCACAACATCGGTAGGTTCAGGCATGAACGGTCTCTTTCGGATTTCTCTAAGTGCATTGGCGCAGGCACGGGACAAAAGCCAGACATGAACAAATTCGTGGCTCAGCAATAGACTACTACCGCAAGAGGAAGAACCCCACCCGCAAGCGAAAGTGGGCCAGCACTACACATATGGCATGCAGCACAACTTGAATCGGTTCACGAGTTGGCCCTGAGGCTGTTTCTTGGTTGTGCTACCGGTTGCCTTTTGTCATCAAAAGGCGCGGCAAGAGTTCATGTTGGCTTCGTTGTCTCCGTGCTACTTGGTCAACAATGTTTCTTGTGTGCTAAATAGATGATTATCACGGCTCATGTACACCATGATTTGATGGGGCCTTGAAGGCATTAATCTAACGCGAACGGGTTCTTGCGGGGGGTAGAACCAATTGATGGGAGAGAACATGGTTGTGGCGCAGCACCATGCCCTAGGGGTCAGGTTTCCCCTTCTTTTCTCATCATCCGTTCTTGAGTAGCACCAGCGCACACGTGTATGTTCAACGCTGCAAATGTTCTTGTACAGTAATCCAATAGTAACCACAATATTGTAGGTTTCGGTCGCGATATACCGCGTTTGTATGCCAAACAATTAGCATCGTCAGGCCATCCGATGCTGAAGCGTAGCATAGCTGCTTCTCTTGCGGAGATGCTGAACGTCGACCACACGTCACAACGTCGCGCTTGTTAGTTTTCATCACACTCTTTTCCGACCGATCCTACTTGTATCGATTTGTATGTCGGCGTATGTGTGTATGTAGACTAGCCGCTCGAAGAACGCCATCATACAGTTCTAGCAAGTGCATAATGACCAGCACATCGCCGCCTTGTGTCCCCCGTTCGGTGCATCGTGTGCATCGTGATCGTGTGCCGTGTATCGTGAGGATAGTGTACATAAGCACGAAGAGTGCGCTGGTGAATATGGGGTCATATGGGCTTGGCGCTCGAACACGAATTCTTCCAACCAAGTCGCAACCACCAAAGTAGTTGTCAACGTAGTCCACCAACGTCGTTCTCACCGTTTTGTCCAGGTCGAGCACGACGAGCTTAGGCAGGGCACCGGTGAGGTGTAGCTGACCCCCTTGATGCGCCGGATGATTCTCCAACGAACTCTTTTTCGGGGGAGCGTTCCCAGTTTTTGGTGTTTTCTCATCTTGGGATGGTCCTCCAAAGTAGGAGCTGATCTCAGCGCTTTGTCCACTGGCACCTCTCTCCCGATCACCATGGCTATCAAGCGCTTCCTCGGCACTCCGCTTCAGCGATGCCATGTGAACAATCCCCTCTTGGCAAACACTTTGATCTGAAACTTGAAACACCCAGCCGCTTTGCTGCTGCTCTGCTGGCCAGTAGCTCACTACCTATTTAATTTGAGAGTCTGAAGGGAGCAAAGTCTTGTGCTGGATTCTTCCTGCGGCCAGGCGTGCTCTGTCTCTCCCCACAAGGAACGGTCTTCTGAGATCATGATCAGAGACAAGAAGGGACCGCAAGACTGTGAAATCACAACCAATCAGCCTTTGGGGGGTGCCGCAGACTGGCAATTTATGCCCACATACTCGGATGTGGTCCGCCCGGCCGTCGCTGCTGGCTGTGCCTGCTGGTGCCACCGCGGACGGACGCTGCTGCCGGGTCGTTTGTCGTTTGTGCCAAACACCACAACCTGAGGAAATGGAGGTGCCAAAAACACGTTTGATAGTGAAGAATGTGCCCAAGCATGTGGACGAAAAACGCCTGTGGCAGCACTTTGCCGAGCGGGGGGAGGTGAGTTTATTGAGATTTGAAGATGAACAAGGACCACCAACAAGCACACAATCAGACGTACATGTTCGGGCCCACAGCGAGGGCGGTAGTATTTGCTGGACACCGCCGTGGCGGGCTCAAGCTGCAGATTTGTACAGCGCTGTCAACAACTGTAATCTGCTTGCAGTCGGCCCTTATGTTCTGCTGATCTCGTCGTCTCTAGACCTGTGCTCTCGTGCTCTCCAATGCTGACTCTATTGCTGACGTCCTCCGTTCCGAGTCGCATGCATAGTGGACGTAACAGCGGTGGTCACCTGCACCTTTGCGGGCCGAATTGTGTTCCCGCGAGCAACTCCAAAATCAGTTTGCTGCCGTGCGTGTGTTACAACGCAAGCAGCGTCAGTGTCGTTTGATGGGCAGCCATCTCAACTGCTGTTGTTTTAGCACGCGTACATACGCCTGTGCGTGTGTGGAGAAGGCAGCTCGGTCAGTGAGGGCTGAGGTGGGAAAGTCTTGTAAGAGGGTACTGCAGTGGAAACGAGAGTGAAGCACCACGCGAGAGCGCATCACCACACCCATCTGCCACGCAGTTCAGATCACTATCCCAAGTCTCCTTGGAAACCAAGTAGAAAACTCCGTGTTTTTCCGCATTTTGCAACCCCATCTTCAACCAGTACTGTATCTCGAACATCAACACCCCGCCAACTTCGCTTGTCATCCTGTGCAAGGTTAAGTTGCGTTGAAAACGGACAATGAACTCGCGCTACTGAAAGTTGAATATATTTGGTGGTTTGCGCATCTATCTTGGGGAGTTTAGACTTACGTATGCTGCTGTGGTCCATTTTAACAATGCTGTTGCCCTACTCCCATCCATCGTGTTGACCGCCCTTCTGCCTCTTGTCTTCGGCGGGTTGTATATAGGTTTCCGATGCAAAGATCGTGCGCACCAAAGACGGCAAGTCGCGGCAATTTGCCTTCGTGGGATTCACGACTGAAAGTGATGCTGAAGAGGCTCTGAAGTACTACAACCAGACCTTCCTGGATACCAGCCGAATACAGGTGAGAACGCGTCGCGGAGAGAACTGTCGATTTGTTCTTGTGCCGTGTTTGACGTCGGACGTCGCTGTAATTCTCTGCTGTTGTTTCTGTATTCGTGTATCACCGTACCTGCCTTGCACCTGCATGCCTCACTTTTCTAAGCATGTAGAATTACTCAGATGTTGACCCCCCCTCGACTGTTCAGGTCAGGTTCTCTTTATGGCTGTTGGAATTGTCCGTTTCTATTTCATTTATTACCACACGACCTGATACGATTCGTTGCCTTTATGCTCAACATAAGTCGGCTGTACGTTCAATAGAAACATGATACTCCTCTGTGGCACTGTCTGCAGGTCGAACTCGCCCAGCCCAAAGGAAACGCCGGCATCGCGCGGCCTTGGAGCAAGCATTCTGAGGGTAGCTCCCGTGCACAAAAGCTGGCAGAGGCAAAGGCCAGGAAACAAGTCAAGGCCAAGGATGAGAAGCGAAAAACAGACGAGTCTTGCAGTGCCAAGGCAGCGGCGGCGTCGGCTCGTGGGAAGGTGGAGAAGGAGGAGTTCATGGCGGCGCTGAAAAAGCGGAGCGAGGCCAGGTTCTGGGACAACGACGATGCTTTGCTCGAGCAAGCGCAAGCTGCAGCAGGCGGCAACATCGAGGATCGGGAAGGTGCAAGTAGTGACGCCACCAGCTCGGACGACGATCGAGCGAGTGTCGACAACCAGGAACTCTCGGATGGAACTGACAGTGACGCGGAGTCACCAGAAGAGGGAACGTTGGGAAGCACGAGCCGCAGTAAGGAGAAGCGAAAAGCCGGCGGCGGGTCGGACATGGACTGGCTCCGCTCCAAGGTGGGCAAGGGAGGAGCAGGAAGGGGTAAAGTAAAAGGCGACGAAGCTAGTGCAAGCAAGAGTGAAAGCGAAGGAGACGAGGAGGGCGGTGGAGCCGGAACAGGAGGAACGGGTTCAAAGGGAGGTGCTTCCGGGCGTGAGGGAATCGAAAAGCCCGAGAGGAATGCTCAGACGGCCGATGGCGGCCACTCCGACGACGAAAGCGACGACGAGAAGGAGGAGGAGGAGAGTGGGCTTTCCGTGGGGAGGCTGTTTGTGCGCAACCTGCCGTACACCTGTACAGAAGACGACCTCAGAGACTTGTTTGGGAGCTTCGGGATGCTGTCGGAAGTTCATCTCCCTGTGGATGACGTCAAGAAGGTTTGTATTATCGACACGAGCGTGCGAACGCGGTCTATGTTGGACCTTCTCGTAGAGGCGAAGGAGGTGTACAGCCGACAGAACTGGCCACTTGTATCCCGTTCTCCTAATCGCAGGATCCCGCGAAGAGAGTGGACCCTCTCTTTACTACTCTGACGTTGGCCTGGTGGGAGTCAACCACGGCCTGGGTTGCGTATCGCATGTTTGTCTGTTGACTCGTTGAAACCGTTTTACACGTAGTCATCTTCTGCTCCTGTCTCGAAGCTCACGCGGATGGAGATACAACACGCGGTGGGTTGTGTGTCAACTCTTCCAGTAATGTCGGCCAGGAATGTAACTTTCCTATTCTTGTCCGGACTGCTGGCGAGCTCGTTCTCCGGCCCATCACCGGGTAAATTAATCGGTATTCCTAGATGGTGACGACTTCATTGCCCCTCTCTCGTGTTCCCATTGCTCTCGCACCCAGGGCAAAGGGTTTGCTTTCGTTCAGTTCGTTATCCCGGAAGATGCTGAAAAGGCCTTGGAGCAGCTAGACAGGCACGCCTTCCACGGGAGATTGCTGCACATCATGCCGGCCAGGAAGCAGCCCGGCTCATCGGGGGCGGAGGCGTCCGGCACGGCTGGAAGGCAAGTTGTTGATGCTTTTGCTGTACCTAAGGGCTTGATTGTTGGGCCCAAGTTGGTGCTGACTTTAGAGAGGTTCTTCCCAACATCTCACGCGTTCACATTGTTTGAAGCATAGACAAGGCTGTAGCGATAATTCTGTTTGTGACCCATCTTCAAACACTGGTTTCAGGAGTCACCGCCGTAGACGCCCGTGATCTGTTTGATACAGCGGGTTAGCCAATTGACCATGCGTTATCCTCGAGAGGACGGGAGTATTTTTCCACAAGACCGATCACCGATGGCCAATCGTTCCTTTCTTTGATACAGAGATAGGGATGTTTGTATGTGTCGCGTGCAATGTGACATAAACAAGAGTTGGTGGTGAGGAAGAGGGTGTGCATGTACGCACCGTATTCAGGATGAACCGATCGTGGCCCGACGCGGTAAGTCTTGTGGTTGACGCAATTTGGTGTCATTCGTTCGTTCCGAACTGTTACTGGTGCTGTGCGACAGCTGAGTCAGCTGGTGCGCAAGCGTGTGGACTCGAGAGATGCCTGCCTCAAATAGGTACCGTCCAATATTGGGAAAGAACTGTACGTGAACCAACCACCGCTTGAGAAATACCACGACACTTGAAACCTTCGCGCTGCACCCCGCACACACGTGACCTCGGTCTCCACAGTGCTGCTGCCGCGGGGAAGAGTTATAAGGAGAAAAAGGAGATGGATCGCCGGGCGCGAGCGGGCGACACGGTGGGGTGGAACGCATCCTTCGTGCGATCGGACACCGTGGTGGATGCTCTCGCAGACCGGTTGGGGGTCGGCAAGAGCGACATCCTGGATCGAGAGGAGGTGGGCGAGCTGCGATTGCAGAGCAAAATTCCCGGGGTCGTCGAACAGGCTTGGTGTAGGACCCAATCGATGACGCGAATGCAGTTCTAGTTGTACCTGGCCTTGGAGCCGCTTTCACTGTCTGTTCGCTGTTGCTGGTGTTGGCGATGCGCGGTGCAAGGGTGGTGTAGTCGCAAAATGCATCCAACGCCTTTACCTTGTTGCTGTCAACAGAGCAGTTGCAAGAGAGAGACAGAGAGCGTAGACGGCGAAAGTACGTCGTGCACGTTGTGGTTCCGAGATTATGCACTCCGTAGATGACTTCTGATATCTGCTTTTCTGTCTTGTTCCACCGACCAATGGAGCAGCACGTCGGCTCTGCAATTTTCGAAAACTACACGATTGTTTAGTTGCACCTCTCGCGCCGCGCTTACGCGCTGTCCAAATTGATCAACACGAATCACCAGGGCGATATGGCCGTTAGGTTGGCTCTGGGAGAAACGCTCCTGGTCAAGGAAAACAAGGAGTACTTCGAGAAGGAAGGGGTGGATCTCTCGGTCCTGGAGAGTACCAAGGGCAAGGGGAGCGGACGGGGGGCCGACGAACGTAGCAGCACGGTCATACTGGTCAAGAACTTGCCTTACAGCGCAGAAGCGGCGGAGCTGGCCAAGCGGTTCGGGGCGTTTGGAGACGTAAGCGCGACTGGCACATTCTGATTCGTGTGCCAGTTATCCACCCGCCTCAAAACAGCGATAGCCTGCCTCATTCCTAGAAAATGGTTGGTGGGGAATCTCCAGTCCAGCGCTAGGTGCCCCAGCACAATGTCCGGTGTTGTGCTGGTGCAGTTGCTCACTGTGCTGTGCTCCAGCACCTTCTGCTTGCGGCGAGTTGCTTCTCCCAAACCCGCCGTATGTCCCAATGCGCAAAACTGCCGGTTACCTCTGTGTGAAAGTGCCCTGGGCTAGACTAACGCAAATACCACACCACCCTAAATGCCGGGCGACCGA